CTATAAACATTACTGACACCACAAACATTTGTTTCCCCAGATATAAGACTCTTATTCCTATGATCCTCTTAGTAATGTGGCAAAGATGAAAAAAAAATTTTTTTTATTTGTTTTGTCTAATTCTAAGAGAGAAAATTTGCTGATGTGACAGTTTGTAACAATAGAGGTAAAAAATACAACAGTAGCAATCATGAAACAAAAACAACTCATTACACTGCAACAGGAATTAGGACAAGAGGGGTTGAACAGTTATATTAGCAAAGCTCTAGCAAAATGCTAAAATTAGCAATGTAGACGTTAAAAAGTTTAACTAAGCAAAACTTTAGCTAAACGCTAATAGAGAAAGCTAAAATCGGCAAAATGGTGGATGAAAGCTAAACTGAGAAAAACCATAAACAAACTAAAACTGTAGTAAATTAGAATATATAAGCTAAAGCTAACAAAACAACAGCTAAAACAAAAATTAACAAAACCACAGAAAAGATCAAACGTAGCAAAATTGGATCTAAAAGCTAAAAATAACAAAACAGTAACAAAAAATATCTAAAATTTGCAATACTATAGCAAGAAATCTAAAATGGGCTTAACTGTAGTCCAAAATCATTTGTAAAGCAGAATATAATGCTTAAAATTTCCAAAACAGTAGATTAAAAAAACATGAGCAAAAGCTAAATGTAGAAAAGCAGCCAAATGTTAAAAATTAACTGTATCTAACAAGCTTAAAATGATCAAAATCACAGCTAAAAATTGAAAAATAAAAGTCTCATAAAAACAGGGGAAGTCTGCTGAAGCAGTTCCTAATAAGAATATTTCAAACTGGACTGAAGATGTTTCAGTGAATTTCAGCGTGAAAACCTTTTTGCAAATGAAGTTAAACAATGTTAAAAATATAAAGGTTACAAATACTAAAAGTTATAATACACTATTCCTGAYTGAGCTAAACATTTTGATAWWAGAAATAAATTAGCTTAAGTATGCAGAAAGAAACTCTAAACAGGAAAACAGTGTAAATCTGAGTTGTTTTATCTTCCTGTTATCACTCCTCCCATCGTGAGCCTGTTTAGTAGTTAGATGTTTTTGTGTTTGTATACTTGAATGTTTTGTGATGGGGTTTGTTGTACCTTTGCATCCRTCTGGATCGTCACTCAGACCAAAGTAAGCTGGTTTGCAGCGCTCACAGCGTTCACCCTCTACGTTGACTTTACAGCGGCACTGACCAGCGATGAGACCGGYCCGAACATCCGTCATCCCGTCACAGATCCCTCCGTGCAGAGAGCCCTCAGGGTCACAGCTGCAGGCTGCACACACAAACATCAGTCAGCTGCATTCAATCACACCCTAAACTGAGTACTACGAGACATAAAATGATTATTTTAATATAAACCCTAACATTCCTTAAAAACCATTCTATTCATATGCTAGAGTTTTAAAGTCAGATTGTCTCATGATAAGCTGAACGAGTTTAGATCAAGAGGATGACTCTCGGCTACTACTAAACTTTAGTTTGACAGTTGTTGACAACTCTGGWTGTTTTCCTCTACGCCCCCCAACTTCTCTTATAGATGAGATTCTGATGTGTAAGTCTGTAACAAAACGCTCTATGAGCAGAGTTTATTCTCTGCTCAGCTCATTTTCTGACTCCAATTTAGATTCTTTGAAGGGCAAGTGGGAGATGGACTTGGAGGAATCCATATCAGACACAGTTTGGCAAAAAATTATTCAAAATATATATTCGTCCTCAATATATGTGAAACATGTTATAGTTCAATTCAAGGTAGTACATCGTCTACACTGGTCTAAGGACAGATTGTGCAAATTCAAAAAGGACTTGGATCCGTCGTGTGATCGTTGTAAACAATCTCCTGCCACACTTCTGCACACAATCTATAAAATATTTGGGTGTTTCCCTATCGAGGGACTTCTCAAAACTGTTTGAGATAAATTATGGCTCACTAAATTTGAAAATAAAATCA